AATTATTTTTTTAAATTATATTTAAAAGTTTTATAATTTTTAAAAATATATATTTTATAATATAAATATTGATATTTATTAGTATTTTTGTATTAGGATCACCATTGAAAATTCCAAAATTCTCAATAAAATATTCTGATGCAATCAGAATGAGATTTTTGTGATTTATGATCATGAGAATTTAGGGGGTCCTGGTCTTAAAATAGGGGTAAACTGTGACCAATACATGTTTTTGTGAGATAAACTCCCATTTAAACAGGCTTGTGTTTACAGCCCTGTTTCTATAAATCTGTTTGGCAACAACACTTCTTGTCTTCCTTATGGTAATACTATGCTATTCTTCGAAGAACCATGTGAATACCAAATGGAAATTTGAGTGCAATGTAACTACCAAATGGTACATGACTAAAGTAATCATTTGTAATTTAAAAACCCTTGGTATTACCATCTGTACCTCATTACAGTCACAGTACTTTTCTGTAAGTAAAGGCACAGAAACCATGTCTGAGTGAACTGTGATGCATAAGTGTGTGTTACCTGAATTAACTGTCAAGAAATGTCCAGAAAAAGTGCAATATATTACAACAAATCTTCAGAATATGCACAGCATCACCCACAGATGTAAATCTTTCAATCTTGGTCACATAATGCTGTTTTTTGTTAATCTACAAAACAAGACATCATAAACAACAACACAATGCTAGTTTACATCATCTTTAGCCCTGACTGTGGGCGGCACTGAAGCATTCCTGCATATTATTTCATTTTACAGAAATATAACATGTAGATTAAATGTGCAGCAATGAAACAGGAGACTCATTCATTAGATACAGAGCTCATTTGGACAGAGATTTCATTGTCATTTTGTTGGCCATCCATTTGGAGTTAACAGTGTAAAACAGCGCACTCTACCGGCTGCTTTGACAAACGAAATACAAAAAGGTTGTGTTTGTTATTTTGGGGTTATCAAATACCTATAGCATAGGTTTTTTTTGCATTTATGATAGACTTCTGACCACAGTTTCATGTCATCTAAAGACTTTATTTATAGCTATGGTAAATCACATACTCATAATTCATAAGGAGAGCTTTTTTATGTTAGCATATTCATCAGACAATAATTACACAATTTTGATTATGTAAAACCAACAACATTACAGCAGCAGGGTAAAGATGTTTTCTTTGGATTGTTTGACTACTCAAAAGAGAATAATATACAACTTAATTTGTGTTTCCTGCTAGCTAAATTTCACATGCATGAACAAAAATCTGTCTCTAAACCTCTCTTTTCTTTATTCAGAGTTGATCTAGACAAGTATATGGAAACTATCCAAAGCTCTGTTCATCCTAAATACGCCCAAAACCATGGTTACTACACTGTTACTATAATAAAATCATGGTAAATTTTCTTAAACACCAGATTTGTATCCGTGCATACTTTCTTTATTTTTTTCTTTGTTTTGTTTTTATAACTGTGCTACCTTAATGGTTTTATGTTTTGTACTGTTTAATAAAAAAAGAACGAAAGAATCAGAAAAAAAGATTCGCGATACGTGATCCGAAGTTCCGATCTGAATCAAATGATTAGCGATACGCACTTTGAATTCTCGATCTGAATCAAATGATTCACGGTACACGATCCAATTGGAGCGCTTCGAAACAGTGAATCATTTTGCGACGAAGTGGTTTAAAGGCACAATATGTAATTTTCGCCACTAGAGGGTGCGTATTCAAAATAAACAAATAGACAAAGGCATAGTTTGATGACTGTGACTGAGTGAGGAATCATGGGAGTTGTGGTCTTCATCCACACAGCCGATGCAATCCGACGGGACTCGGGCAGAAATCATGTTCATGGATGAGCTAATGATTTATTAATGTCGTAGTATGAAGCAGGGTGAGGCTGAAAGCCGTCGAAGCGAAACGAGGCCGCTGAACGAGCGTGACACACGGCTGGAAAGCAGCGGAGCTTTTATTATGCCACAGTCGACCGCTTCCGCTCCTTCCGGTCGTGCGTATGTGGGGTAAAGCAGCGCTGTTTTATCATACTAGATACATTTGAAAGTTCTGTTATAATGCTACTCTGTGCGGTCGTCACCGAGTCTATTAAAACGCACAGCATATTAAAGCATCTTTGGTGTTTCCATGTTTTCTACAAAACAAAACCGGAAATCGAGGGGTTATGACGTCACTGGCAGGCGACACAATGACACTATGGACACGGTCCGTGTCACTAGTTAAAATTGCTTATTTCTCTGGATTTAAACATTCTTCGAAACATTTGGGATAATGTAAGTACACAAGCCAGCAAAATATATAACACCGTTCTAGTGGTTTTTGGATATTTTAATAAAAAAAATCTTACATATTGTGCCTTTGAGCTTTTCGAAACTTAGAATCCGTTAGTTTCAATAAGCTACTTTTCTAACGTATTTACTTGAACTTCTCAGGTAATATCAATGGTATGACCTATTTTAGATTCGGCCGAAATTACAACAACAGTGTTTACATATGCATATATTTAATTGTTTGATCAAAATTATTGCTATAACTTATAGCAATATAACTTATTGACATGTCCCTAGCGTCCCTACTAAATTCTACGCCCTACGCTTCTTTTCATTTAATGGAAGAAGAACCTGAAGCGTACCCGAAGATATCATGTCCATATTATGTTTATCTTCCTCAGATGCAATCACCTCAAGCAACTGTTCATAGAAATAAATTAACTTTAAACACACCTTTACGTATTATAAAGTTAATTTAAGGAAACCTGAGTCTTTCACACTCTCTCACGTCTCCTCTCCGCTTCTGTTCTGTAGTCTGACTGTCTGATTGAAATGAAACATGAAGGAACACGTCCATCTCTCACTATGGAGGCGCGATAGCAATGAACTACATTTCCCGAGTCGATGCGTGGCGTGCGTCATGACGTCAGCGCGGCTGCTGTCAGTCAGACAAAGACAGTCAGTCAGTCAGTCAGTCAGGGCGAGTCTTCCTCACAACATCACATAAAATATCATCTTCGTCGCCTGACAGAGCACATTAAATGATCTGCTGCGCTGAGATTTTGTGTATTTTCCTCATTCCAGGTAAGAAACGTGATTTTATCCCTGAGGAGAGTCAGTTTTGTGCTGGCTCGTGCTAAGCTAACTAGCCGCCTGGATAATTCAGTTCGTTTTGTTTATCTTGTCAAAACACGCGTCGTGATTTAATTTTAACCGACATATGCGTCTAGTTTAAATCTATACATGTCTAGATAGTTTATACAGTAATATAATTGTCAGTTAATGAGTTATGTAGCCAGTTTTTCTAGTGTGAAAGTGCTGAACTCTTGTATTTATTTGTGCATATTCGTCATATTTACTAATAAACAGTCATGTGAATAACTCGTTGAGATTTATTTATGCATGTGTGCTGTTAATTTAAAGCTCTTTTGGTGTTTGTTTGCAAAGGTCAGGACACAGATGAGTCATGCAAAACTTATTTTGTTTATATAGGTTGAAATACTCAATGTTTCTCATATGAATTGTTATTTAATACGTGCATGTTTAATATATGTATGCTTATATTTCGTATGCGGTCTTGTTGTAACGCTGGATATGCTGTTAGATTTCATGCACAAAGATGATGGGCGTATATCTGTGCTTTTATCACTATCATATGACATGCAGTTAGAAAATATCCATATTTTAAATACAGTCTGGGCTTTGACCGGTCGACTGAAGCCCCTTCACATGCAATGCATAGATGGAAATGAAGTTAAATGAAAGTGATTTGCTAATAATCCTCATTGATCGTGAGTTTGCTGCATGGATTTGTTCTGATCCTTTCATAACTTGAGTTTCCAGGATCTGTCTGAGGATGTGAGGAGCGTTTACTTTAAATGCATTGAAAAACGATTTCTCTCCTCTTGGGATACATCTTTTTTTATGCACGCTACTATTTCTAGAAGCTCCTGGTGAGGTCTGTTGCAACACCTAAGCCAACTAAGCTGTTAAAATGCATCTTGTCCACCTTCAATGTGTGGTGTTTTAGATGTTGCGCAAGGTTAAATGTATACATTTAAGTCATAAAACCTGTGTCAGACCATAACTCTATAACCATTAAAATTAATAATTATTTACACAAAGTTTGCTACAGCATGTATTACTATTTGTTGTTAATTTTAGAAACATGAACAAAACAGCCAAATATTAGAATGTCAATTTTTAATAATGCAAAACATTTTCTATCCTGCTTAATTCAGTCTAATTTTGTGTTTCACGATGACCACGTCTACATAAACAGTAGTTATTAAATGAAAAGAAGAAGGGTGCAGGGATTCTCATGTGGGTTATTATTTAAAGCTCTCAGTGAACTCATTTGACGTGTCTGGATGCAGTCAGATGAGCTGATGCACGTGTGCATGCGGTGCAGGACTGCACCCTTGACTTGCAGTCTCTGCAGCTGTGCCCTCATAAAGAGCCCTGCAGTGAACGCTTGCAGTATTTAATGCCACATGATGACTAATGCAGCAGGGCTTATGGGTGAGACCCTTGGTGCATGTTAAGAGATGTCAGAGAAGGATCGCATGCATGACAAAAGGGCTTCTTCATGACTGCGACAGCGTACTGTATCTTTCATCGCACACACAATTTCTGCCTCAGTCAAAGCCTCGCAGTGATATATTTTTAGAAACCCACAGCGGCTGCCACGTTCCTATCACAGACTTTTATAAGGATCATCTGAGATCCAAGTGGAAGCAATTATGCTGTACAAGAGCCCACTGAGCCCTTTTTTAGTGGCGAGTGCTTTGGCTCCAGCGGTGTAAGGTTAACAGTTAACTTGTGTAAATAGGCTATAATAGGTCTGGTTTAATGGAAAACTCCAAACCAGTGAGGAATTTCACAGCAAACCAGCTGTGCTACTGGGATACGGGTTACGTTAGAAGATTAGTTGCCACAAGGTCGCTGGGTTACCAGTCTTTCCCATTCATTTTTGCTGCGACATAAAGATGAAATAAAGATTCTTAGTAGTCAAGCATCACTAATTTAATTGCTCATATTACCTGGTAGAGGATAGAATAGCTAGGGTGACCATACGTGCCATTTTCCCAGGACGCGTCCTGGCCAGGATTTCTATATTGAATTGCTCATATTACCCGGTAGAGGATAGAATAGCTGCTGTTCAAGTGAGAAGAACATGGTTAAAATGTAACCTTTAACCTGGTTGGCTAGTCATCTATTACCGCCTGGTATTAATATGACTAACCATTAGCTTAATATAAAACCATGTGCTCTAGATTAGAAGGTTAAACAAAGCATGCTCCGTATTTGCATTCTGCGCTTTAATCTGGAGTTACATAAACTCCATCGGTCATTGGCTGGTATGGTTTCCTTGACAACAGCGACAGTAATTGCTCGTGCTTGTTGATTAAAGCCTTCTTGGATAAACAGAATTTTAAGTAGGTCAGATGAATCCTGCTTTTATCATCATAACTTGACTGCCATGAGATGGCGGAGCACTTGAAATTATGATAATTAATTCGTTTGTCTAAGGATCTAAGTCTTGACATGTTGGAGTGAATTCTGGGATTGTTCCTTCGTACTATTCTTATAGAAAATATGTGTTAGAAATCTGTGCACAGTAAGGAAATGTACAACCTGTATCCCATAATGCAATGCACTCAACCTTCTGTTTACAATGTGACACACAGTTCCAGACTAAAACCAAATGACTATTAAACTGAGCTGTTAACTTAGTATAAGCTCTGAACAGTTCAGTGAGCAAGTCATTGGATTGATTCAAACCATATAAACATTAACTAATGCATTTGAGAGTTATTTGTGAATCCGTTTTTATGAAAGAGAACAGGTCTTTTATTAAGGAGAACCAGTCTTAAAAGTAATGTAAGTGTTTATTGTTGCATTGTGCAAAGATGCTGATTGCAATGCACTGACTTAAACTCTAAAGATTTAATTAAATATTGACTCCTCATAATCATGGCTATTAGATGTTTATACAAAAATATGCTTATATTTACCATAAAGTTGCAAATTTTATATAATAATAACTACAAACCCTGAGATTAATAAATCAAAAGCAACATCATCCATTATTTTTAACATCTTGATTTACTGTTTGTTGGGATTTTTTTTTTTTTTATGGAACTTGCATTTTAAACTATTACATATTTTATAATATTATATTTTTATAATATTAATTTCATATTTTATAATATTCATTCATATAATATTATTATAAAGTTAAAAATCTTATAACAAACAACAACATTTTATTTTGTTGTATTTTTCTTTTTTTATATTTTATTTTATGAACAAACTAGAAGCAAAGCCTTCCATTATTTATACCTTCTTGACTATGCTTAAAATTTTTATCAGTTACTGCTTGTTGCTCAATACGAGTTATTTCATGGCAATATAATATATCAAGTATAACCCTGAGTTAAAATGTTGCATAATGTTTGAAACATGTATTGGTGCATATTGTTGTTGAACTTCCTTTTTTAAATAGTAGGGAGTACACAGTACTGCACAGTATCTTTTTGTTTCTTTCTTTCTTTTACTAGTGATTGACCAATATGACAGATATTTTTACATTTACTATTTATTGTAGGGCTGCACGATTATGACAAAAATCATAATTGTCGATTATTCCCTTGAAATTGTAATTGCGATTATTAATTACGATTATCACAATTTACATTGAATGATGTTTTTACCATTGTTTGATGCAACTGCATGCCGTATTTTTATATGAAAATAAACAAGCTGAAAACACTTAACTGAAAAACTTTTAGTGCTTTTCTATAGACGCGATTAGAAATTCGATTAATTGTGCAGCCCTAATTTATTGTAAAGTTTCAAATTGTGTAGAATAGTAATTATTTTATATATGTATTTTTTATAAGTTTGCGACCATTTAGTTGCATTCTGGAGCCTTGAGATGAATGAACCAGAAGCAATATCAGCCATTATTTTTTACTTTTTGACTGTTTGTTCAGAATGCTTAACGTTTTTAGGATTTATTTAACTACTGGATGACCAATTTTTGTGTATTTATTTTTTTATGTAATAATTTATCAAGAAGCTAACTGAGATGATAACTGGATACCATTCACTTAATCATTCAACATTTTGAGGTAACGTGTCAAAAATATTGCATGTTAATGATCAAAATATTTGTTGCATAATTTTTTGTTAATAGGCAGGATTCAGTATGTAGGCCTCCTGCACGGTATGCAAACTTTCAGTTCTTAATGAAGCATCTGTTTGTTTTTTCTGTCAGCATTCATGAACGCTCTCCTATAACAGCCATTGATGCACATGTGATTGATGTGCATTGTGTAAAATAATGTTTGTTTTTGTGTCCCGTCAGAATGTCTCACTACACAGATGAGCCACGCTTCACCATCGAACAGATCGACCTGCTCCAGAGACTGCGGCGTACAGGTATGACCAAACCCGAGATCGTGCACGCGCTGGACACCCTGGAGCGACTCGACCGCGAGCACGGGGACAAATACAGCCGGCGCGGCCCGTCGGACTCCAACGCCACCAACAGCACCACCTCCAGCACCACCTCCAGCACTACACCCACCTCAAATAGCACTAGCAACGCCACCATGGCGACCTCCTCCACCACTTCCACAGCAACGCAAACGCAGTTCCACGGTAATTTATCACCGTCACCCAGCAACAGTTACGCAACGTCTCCACCCGCCGTCTTACCCTCGCCAGTCTCTCTGGTCGCCATGGCGCAGAACGGGCGGGACGCTTTGGCGGCGACACCCAATGGGAAACTGTCGCCGAACCGTTACCCGGTGAACAGTGCGGCAGCCGTGAGGTCGTATGGGCTGGAGGGGTCAGAGGAGGACCTGGATATAGATGACAAGGTGGAGGAGCTCATGAGGTCAGTCAGTCAGGGTTATTATAGTTAACTAAAACTAAAATACTAAAACCATTAGAAAATGTTCATTACTTGAAATAGAAATAGAAATAAAAAATAAAATATAAACATAATAAGAGTGTATAATATATAAATAAAATCTACAAAAAATACATACAAATAAATAACAAAATTTCAGCTAGTTGTCAAAGCAACATTTATCTTTTTTCATTTAGTATAACTTGACAACTTGTCACTTTATTTACTAAAAAACTAAGACTAAAACTGAAATAAAAATGAATTAACTATATAGACATATTAAAAATTAAGATAATAACTGAGATAATAATTGGATGCCACTCAGTCTTGCAAAAATATGTAGTAATGTGCCAATGTAGTATATTATTAACATTCAAAAAATTTGCTGAACACTGTTGTACTTCCTTTTTTATAACTGAAAGGTTTTTGTTTGTTTGTTTTGTTTTACTAGTGGTTTACCAATATGTATTTTAAATGGCAAAGTTAAAGATAAAGTTGTAATTTTTAAAATAATAATAATAGTAATATTTTTGTATGTACTTATTCATTTTTTTTCTTTCTTTTTAAATACATTTGCAATCTGTTCAGTTTAGCAGTCTGGAGCCTTGAGATTAATTAACTAAAATAATTAATTAAAAAATATATAATTGTCAAAACATTTCTAATTTTCCTGTAGTTTAACTTGATGTACTAACTAAGGGTGCTTTCACACTAGCACTTTTGGTGTGCACCCGGGTTCGATTGACGTCAGAGTACGGTTTGTTTGGATGATGTGAATGCTGTCTTCCGAACTCGGGTGCGCACCCGCGAACCGTACCAGAGTCTGCTTAAAAACGGTGGTCTGGGGTACGGTTCATGTGAACTCCGGTACGGTTCACTGCTGATGTGAACGCAATCGTACCAAATCGCGGAAGTGAACCGCTATTAATGACGTATTATTTGATAAAAATGTGTGTTTGTGTGTGTGTTTCACTCACTTTCCTGATGAGCGTGACTGACGCACTGCAAACAGAGAGCTGTATATCTCATTTCTGTTCGCCTTCAGCGTTCTTTAGAGCATTTGCAGTACATTCGTAAGACAGACTTAAGTGCCATTATGTACCGAAGCTTTGTAAACAAAACGAATGGTTTAAAAACGTAAATATATAAAAGTGCAGAGAGCAATGTTATGCATTTGCCGCCGACTCCTGCGCTGTCGTTACTAAGCAACGGGGTAAACAGCTGCTGGCTTGATGACGCAAACGAACCGCGGTTCGGACCCAAATAAAATAATATGAACGCGGGGCAGGGGGAGGGGGGGGAGCAATCGAACTCGGGTTCGGACCAGGCAAGCGAACCAAGTGTGAAAGCACCCTAAAACTACAACCGAAATAAAAATGAATAAACAACTATACAGACATTTAAAAAAAAAACTAAAATGAAAACAGAAAATCAAAGTCGATTCAAACTCACTCTAAACCGGTCCTGAATTTAGCGCTGTTGACGTGTGATTGTGTTTACCGGGTGTAAGCAGGGTCATTTTGCTCGGAGATATTCTGTGATGAGTTTGATAACTGAATCTTCACAGACGTCATGTTGTTGTGGTGTTGAATTGCAGCTGTCATGTTTGCGTCCTGTGATGTGTGCAGGCGAGACAGCACCCTGGTGAAGGAGGAAATCAAAGCCTTTCTGGGCAACAGACGCATCTCACAGGCCGTGGTGGCTCAGGTCACAGGTCAGTTCACCCCATTACCCCAATTCGTAAAACATCTATCATGTTCAATCAATCATCAGCAATCATTTCAGAAATGTACTTACAATACAAGTCTATGGGGCAAGACATTGTACTGTAATAAAATACACAGTGCGTTAAAGATGCTTGGTACAGATGTGGGGCCATTACTGCGTCATCAAGTTTCACATTTGCACGTGTTTTTAAGTCTTGCCAATTAGTGGTTGACTGACTGATCAGTTTTGCAGATTAATCGGGACCGATAACCGATTGCTAGAATATTCGGTTATCAGTAAAAGTACATACTTATAGTTTTTCAGGGTTGCGTCTGTTACTAGAGCGGCAGAGAAGGTTAATTTCAACATTTACTAATACATTTTAAAAGTGTTATCTGTTAACACGAGTTAATGAACTAACATGAATGATCAAGTTATAATTAATGTAATCATATTTATATATTTATTTCATTAAAAAAATTATGGTACATTTTCATGGCTCAGTACTGTATCCATTAATTTGCATACATTTCCAGAACAGAAATCTGAACATTAAATAAAGCCAGGTTCAAAATAGTTTCTTCTTCTTTGGATATAT